AGGCGGGGAACGTTGGAGTCCGCAGTCACTGGAGCAAGCAAGCCTCATGTTCGCTTCCAGCTGCCTGGCTGCCGGCCGCCATCTTGGCTGACAGTTAATTTGCATAAGGATATGCTGATTAGCCAATGGGAAGGGTAGCGGTCGTACGCTAATTACCATGTTTCTCTTTTATTAGTGTAGATATTGAGTAGACATGAAATGTGGATTGAGAATAAAGGCTAACAATACGACAGGCATCCCTGTGCTCTCCACCTATATACCCCTCTATAATTCTGTCCCCTTTCCCTTCCTCCTCTGAGCCATCACTCTCCCTAATATTGTTTACACTGCACTCTTGATTATGCTTCTGAGATTCACCCATGTTACTGTGTGTAGCTGTAGTAGTTTGCTTTTACTCCTGCTGATATTTCAGTGTCTGACTATACCACGATTTATTTTTCATTTGCCCCCTTTTATGCTTGCTAATGCCAGCAGGGCTGCTATGAGCATGCTTGTGAATGATTACTGGCATACATATGCAATGGTATCTGCAGGATGTATGTAGGAGAAGGTTGGCTATGCTTACCTTTATAGATGACAACAGTCTTTTCCAAAGCGATAGGACTAATTCACATTCCCAGCAGCAGAGTATATGTATCGATTGTTCCACACCCTCTCTAATATTAATACTTCTCAAATTTCATATTTAATAAAATTTGGAGGGAGTATCCAGGATGGAGGGAGGGAAGAAGAAGGAAAACTATTCTTTCCAAACCCAGAAACCAGAACTGGGTACTCATAGTCAACAAGTATTGCTGGTTTGATGAATTTCTTACAGTGTCTGCTAGACTCAGCTCATTGCAGCCAACGAAATCCCCTGTGTGACTGAGGAAAAAAAATAAAGGGAAGTAAGAGGGGCCCATGTGATCTCTCAGAACATTAAGTCAATAACACAATTCAAAATCAAAAAGGAGTTAAAACCATAGAATAGCATGCATAAATTTAAAATAAATGTAAACAGAGCCCTAGAATATGTCTGGAAGAGGTGTTTGAGGTTACATAGGTCAGATTGAGCTCAGGTCCTTGTGCCCAATCAGTTAGCATTTCTGGTGCTTTCCTTGTAGGTTCCAGACCCTCAAGAGTCTAATTTCAATTGCTTGTGTATGTTTGGACCTACACCTTTCTGGGATTGACACTGACCTTTCCAGTCTCTTACATGGAGGGAGCAATGGTGAGAGGGAGAAGTATCTACACTAATAAAAGACAAAGATGCTAATTGACCATACCTTCGCTACACCCATCAGCCAATCAAAAGAGTATGCAAGTTAACCCAACAAAGATGGCCGTTAAATTTGCATACTGCAGGCAGGGTGGGACAGCGCAATCCGCCGCCTGCCCCGCCGCCATCCGGGCCTGCCATCTGCGACCCGGGGAGGTGGGGCAGGCACTGCGGGATTGGGCCTGCCATCTGCCACCCAGGGAGCGGGCCTAAGCCAGCAGGTGGTTATCTCCCAAGGGGTCCCAGACTGTGAGAGGGCACAGGTCGGGCTGAGGGACCCTCCCCCACCCCCCGTGCGGGATTCGGGCCTCTAGTACTATAATAAAAAGGTCAGGTCTCTGCCCTAGCTGGTTTGCTCAGTGGAGAGAGCATCGGACCTCAGACTGAAGGGTGCTGGGTTCAATTCCAGTCAAGGGCACATACCTTCAGTTGCAGGCTTGATGTTCAACTCTGGTTGGGGTGCCTGTGGGAGGCAACCAATCGATGTCTCTCTCACCTCAATGTTTCTCTCTCTCTCTGCCTCTCCCCTTCCCTTCCACTCTCTCTAAAAATCAATGGAGAAATATCCTTAGGTGAGGATTAAAAACAAACAAACAAAACCCACAAAATAAATAAGTAAATAAAAAATACATATAAAAAACAAAGATTTAATGGCCCTAACCATTCAGGGAGTGTTGCTCATGGGTTTGGGGTTGGGTATTTGTAACTGAAGCCAAGTAGGAGATGTGGCACTAAGAGGGAGCCTATCTGTATTCTGAATTAAATAACAAAGCTTGTAAACATAAATTTGAAGTTGTGCCCAGAGATTTCCAAATCTACAAAACTTAAAGCCCTTGCCAAAGTTTTTGAATCACAGTGTAGAGTCTAAATTCTGTTTCCTCTGTTGTTTTCTAAGATCCTACGAATCTGGCAAATAAAAGAAGTGATAATTACTCATATTTACCTCAATGCTGAGTTTCTCCCATATAGTGCTCTCCTTTACTTTGGGGACATTTTCATTTACATCATATTCATCTAAAGCATCTGTTAGCTTCCAAGGAAACTTTATCATGAAGGTTCTAAGTTCATTAATGTAGCTGGTCAAAATGTTCACTCCTTTCTGTAGATGTTCATCTAACCCTATGGAAAACACCAACATAACAACTTCATATACACATAAAAATATGTGTGTGTATATATAGAGAGAATATATCAACAGCTGTTATGAAGAATTCTAGAAAATGCCAAAATTCAAACTCAGTGTTTTTAAAATTTCAAACAAAAAAAATCTGAGCTTTTTCCTATTTACAATTAGTTCTGTGATTTAATACAACCCTTCTCACAATGATTAGTCCTTTCTGCCAACTTTCCCAGTGTTAGAGCCCATATCACTTACTCAGCTACATATTGATTTTACCCAACTTGAGTAAATGACACTCCATTGGCTTATGTATTCTCATGCAATATGCTCACTTATACCTCTAACACAGGAATAGGACAATTGCACCCTTCTTTGCTGCTATTCTTACCTTCACTGTGAATAAAAAGCTCCTTTATTTGCTTGTTAAGGAAGGACAGTGTAAGATTAAGTAATTGTTCTGAAAAGTTTTTGCTTTGGGTTTCAGAATTACTTTCTCTAATTGCTGAGCAAAGTAAATCCAATGCTGGTGTCAGCTCTTCCACATCTGAGAAAGAATGAGAGAAATTAATTAACATGAAGAACACCAGGATATTCCCAATAAAAACAACATATCCAAAAATACCATGTTGCAATATTTTAAAACATAAAATGAGGACCGCCCAGCCAGTGTGGCTCAGTGGTTGAGCACCGACCTATGAACCAGGAGGTCACAGTTCAATTTCCAGTCAGGGCACATGCCCCTGTTGTGGGCTCAATCCCCAGTAAGGGTCATGCAGAAGGTAGCCGATCAATGATTCTTATCATTGATGTTTCTATCTCTCTCTCCCTCTCCGTCTCCCTTCCTCTTTGAAATCAATAAAAATATATTTAAAAAAAAAAAAAGAACAAGGACTAATGTCTAATTCTCAAAAAAGCTCACAAAACTTTTATAAAATTTTACTATCTGCAAACTTTAGTGATTCTACTTACTACTAGTCATTATTTACTGGTACTGTATTACAATAACTATCATTTTGCCACCTACTCTATCTTAAGTTTTATAAATGCTATATCATTTATTCCTTTCAACAACCTGAGAGGTAAATGTTACGGCTCCATTTCCATAGATGAGGAAACTAAGGTTCAGAAAGAATAAATAACTTGCCCAAGCTAATTTGGAAAGTAAGTAGCAGAGTCAAAATTTGAAGTTAAGCCTGTCTGATTCCAAAACCATTACCTTAAACATGCAGGTGAAAGCAAGGAATATGGGCCCCTGAATCTCCAATTTGTCAGCTACAGGCCCTAATAAAGTGATTCCTGTTTATCTCAGCATCAGCTCTAGGACTTTATCTGTGTGAGTGACAAGGATAGGAAACATGGATTTCCTCTGGGAGAGCAGATAAAGCTATTCCCATGCTCCTTATTTCCCGACTCTTCCCCCTATCCTTTAGGGCAGAGCAATACAGGTGACAGTGAACTGATGAGAAATCACGGACCACCAAAAAGCAGTAGTGTATAACAACCATATAATCACTGATGGTCCATGCCACTCATCTACCTTAATCCCATGTGCCATGACCTGTGAGGCTATCATGGCAGCCAAGGAGGAGCCATGGCAAAAAGAATTATTATTGGCAATACAACCACAACACAATTGTTGGACTAATACAACATGATAATATTTTTTATGTATTAATCCTGTAAACCAAAAGTATAAATAAACATTATGAGCTGTTTGAACCTAAGGATATTTCCTAAGCATGGACATTTTTTAAAAATATGTTTTTTATTGATTTTACAGAGAAAAGAAGGGAGCAGGAGAAAGAGAAATATCTATGCGAGAAAGAAACATCGATTGGTTGCCTCCTGCACACCCCCTATTGGGGATCAAGTCCGTAACACAGGCATGTGCCCTAATCAGGAATTGAACCAGTGACATGTTGGTGCATGGGACTATACTCAACCAACTGAGCCACATTGGCCAGGGCGGTATGGAAATTTTTGACAGGATCAAATGTCAAGGACCATTTGGCATGAACCAATATGCTCATGGAAGTTTATGACAGGACCAATTTTCAAGGACCTTTGGATTTGGACCAAATGTCTTTGGATATTTTGGAGAGAATCAAATGTTCGCTAATCCCATAGATAATTAGCATATCTATTATTAACAAGAAAGATGTCTATAATATGTCATCAAGTAAAAAAATTACCTATATATATAAAAGCCTAAGCGACCAAATGACTGAACGACTGGATGCTATTCTGCACTTTACTTCCACACCTCCTCTGAGTCTCAGTGTGCTTTTCTCTTTCCTTCTAGTTGTAGAATTTCCACTCAGCCAGCCTTCCTGTGGTTCTGGATGATGTCCGTTTTGTCTTTTAATTGTAGTTTTGAAGTGGTTGTGCGAGGCAGCAATTTCAGGTGTTTACCTTGCCGCCATCTTGGTTTCTCCTCTGTTCTTTAAAAACTTATAAGATTTGGTGTGTTCCTTAAGAACCACTTGAAAGAGTGGGGTTTTAGAGTAGTAGTTAAGAATAGTTAGCAATTCATTAGAATAGGCTAGAGAATAGTTTGTTTTTAAGCTTTCCATATATTTGTAGGTTTTTTTTTTAATGTTGTTGTCGTTGTCCTCCTCCTTC